GCGGCGCCCCCAGCCCAGGCGGAGTTCCAGGACAAGGTGCTCCACGGCGGGCCCTGCGAGCGCGAGTCGCACCCCTACCAGGCCGCCCTCTACGCCGCGGGCCATCTGCTCTGCGGGGGAGTCCTCGTGCACCCCCAGTGGGTCCTCACCGCCGCCCACTGCAAAAAACCGTGAGTCCCAGCCCCGCGGGGAGCAGCAGCCACCCGACTGGGCGGGGGGCGCACGCAGGCTGGGGGGCGGGACTGGGGGGCTCACCGCCCCTGACAGGCCAGGCTGAGCTGGCCCGGCTCACTGTGAGCCACACCCGGCCCCCTGCAGAGGGGCCCCACAGCCCTGGGGGGCACAGCCCCGGGCCAGGAGGCAGCAGAGGGGACGAGGTGGGCAGGGGTGTCTGAGCCCCACAGCAGGACCTGGGGGCTTGGGGGACAGAGCTGACCCTGGGGCATTTCGGGTGAACGCGGCGGCGGGGTGGGGGGCTTGAGAAGCCGCTGGGTGTGGCCGGGGCACGCCAGGTCCCCGAGATGTGGGGAAGGGGGCTGCTGGGGCGCAGGGCTGGAGGGGACCGTGAGTGGTGGTCAAAGCCCGGCGGAAAACACGCGGTGGGCGGGGGTGGGGGTGGGGCGAGCCGGGGCCCAGCCGGGGCCAGTGTGTCCAACACCCGGCAGGGGGATACGCGATTAGGTGCCGGTTCTGCTCCCCCAGAGGGGACTCTCGGCCGGCTCTGCAGCTCAGAGGGGCAGCAAGGACCCCAGCGCCGGGAAGCAGCAGGAGCCCACCCTCAGCGTGGGGCCAGCCACAGACCCCAGCGCCCCCCACAGCCCCGGGCCCAGGGAGCTCGGCGTGGACCCCGTGTCTGCACGCGCACCCCCACTCAGGAGCGCCCACTGGGTGCCGTGGGCCAGGCGGAGAGAGGCCACGGCGGCTGGGAGCCGGGGGTCAGAGCCGGGCCACTTACGCCACCGCCGGGTCGCCTCACGCACCCCCGAAGCGTCAGAGGCCCATTCCCAACAGCCCCGGCATCTGCCTGTGGCGTCGCGGGGTGGGAGCTGGAGGTTCCGCAAGGCCCTGAGTCTTGGGGGTCGGTCACCGCAGTGGCCCGAGGGCAGGGCGGCCCCCGGAGGCAGGAGAAGCCCACGTCCTTGTCCTGCCTGCGCTGGGGAAGAGGTGGGGGTGTCTGGGCCTCGGCCGGGATTCTGGTGGAAGAACCATGGCTGTCTCCCCCTTGGGCACAGGTAGACTGGGGGTGTCCTTCTGGTCCGGTCTCTCTCTGAGAGGCTCATCTTTACCTCAGGCGAGGAGGGTCTGTCCCGTGGAGTGTCCCCTGTCTGTCTTTCTCGCTCAGCCCCCACACACAGGACAGACACTCCCGGCCCCCTCCAAGGCGTTCCTTGCCCCGCACTTCCTGCGGTTTGGGCAACCCTGTGGGGGTTTCTCTTGCTCCTGTCATGCCAGGCGCCGGCCCGCGTGAGGGGCCCGCAGCGGGGCCCGGCCAGCCTGAGAGCCTGAGCACACAGGCTCCCGTCTGGGCAGGACACCCTCTGGGCAGCGCAGCCCTGGGAGGCGGAGACCCTGAAAGAGCAAATGATAATGCAGACAGGTTCTGGTGGGAAAGAGAGCCAGAGAGCCGGAGGGCAGAGGACCTGCCTGGGGCAGGCGGATGCGTGAGCCACGCAGGTGTCTGGGCGAAGAGCGCGGCAGGCGGGCTGAGCAGAGGTCCGGGTGTTCCAGGAAAGGCCGGGAAGCCAGCGTGGCGGGGGCTGCAGAGACGGGCCGGACAGGAGGGGGGCGAGCTCGGGCGGCCACGGTAGCCCTGGCTGCGAGCAGACCAGCGCGGGGCCCGGGGAGCGCCGCGGCTGGCGTCCAGGCAAAGAGCGGAGGGGGCTCAGGGCAAGACGGCGGCGACCTGAGGGTGGTCGCGGGGCGCAAGGCCCAGCGGCTTCTGGGCAGCTTGGCCGAGGCAGGACAGCGCCCGGCAGCCCCGAGGCTAGTTCGGACGGCTCACGGCCGCGGCCCCTCTGGAAGCCCAGCGGCCACTGGGCTCGGGCGGAACCAGCCTCCCTCTCCCAGGAACCTGAGGGTCTACCTGGGGAAGCACAACCTGCAGCAGAGGGAGGACCACCAGGAGGAGGTGTCTGTGGCCAGGACCGTGCCGCACCCCGGCTACAACGCCGACACCCACGACCAGGACATCATGCTGCTGCGCCTGGCGCGCAGCGTCAGGCTCTCGGAGCACGTGCGGCCCCTGCCCCTGGACAGAGACTGCTCGGCCGGCCGCACCAGCTGCCACATTCTAGGCTGGGGCAAGACAGCGGACGGTCAGTGGGGGCGCGGCCACCAGGGAGGCGGGGTGGGCGGCCAGCAGCCAGTGCACAGGGAGGCAGCCGTGAGCCTGGCTGCGCCGCCGGTGTGGGGGCAGGCCCAGGGCGGAGGGTCCGTGGCACTGATGGGGGGTGCTGGAGGACGCTGGCTGAGAGACATGGTAGACAGGTCACGGAGCCTCGCAGGTCAGGAGCAGTCGTTAGAGGAAGAAACGCGTCCAATGGGTCAGCAGGCACCACTGAAGGTGGACTGGGGCACCTTCAGTGGCGGGCCAATAGGAAGGGGCAACCAACGGGGGCGGGCTGGGCCAGTTAAGAAGGACCAATGGGGATGTGGGCCAAGGGATGGCGGGCCCATAGGAAGGGACAACCAACGGGAAGAAGGACCAATGGGGACGTGGGCCAAGGGATAGCGGGCCAATAGGAAGGGACAACCAACGGGGGAGGGCTGGGCCAGCTAGGAAGGACCAATGGGGACGTAGGCCAAGGGATGGCAGGCCAATAGGAAGGGACAACCAAGGGGGAGGGCTGGGCCAGTTAGGAAGGACCAATGAGGACGTGGGCCAAGGGATGGCAGGCCAATAGGAAGGGACAACCAATGGGGGAGGGCTGGGCCAGTTAGGAAGGACCAATGGGGACGTGGGCCAAGGGATGGCGGGCCAATAGGAAGGGACAACCAA